CATCTGCTGGTTCAACTCTGTCAGCAGTTCAGGACTGAGAAAGAGATTATTCAATTTTTTCTTATTTTTTTCCTAACACAGATTTTGATTAATCTTCTATCTTAAGGTGTGGAGGTTTTCTCACAGGTACATCTTGATAAACAAAGGTCTCTTCCTGTCTTCTTGAGAAATGTATTTCTTTTGGATAATGTAAGTAGATCCATGCTGTCTTCCCAGGTAGGGGTTCAGAAGATATCAGCACATGAATTTAAATTTGGGATCCATGATGGATTTAAGTTTCTGTCATCATTTTTGCAGTTTCTGAAACATGCTCTGAAGGAGTCATAGTCTTGTCCAGCCTTCCATACACATAATAAATATTGATTAAATATGTTCCAATATGTAGGTTGGCAATGGAAAACATTTCCCACTGGATAGAATACTTCTTTGCCTTAAGAAGGATTACAGTGGGCAAATCCTTCTTTCCACTAACTCTACCATAGTTTTTTTTGTCCTATACCTTCCTTCATCCTCATGTGGAAAATCCAAATTAATTATCCAGAAGATTGTGGAATGAATATTTTAGAGATGTTTTATCCAAGAAAAGCCAGATAATTTGCATCTCCATTGGACAGCTGGGTTTGATAATGCTTGGAGTGGCAGAGATGGGTACTTGGAGTTTTCTCTGTTTTTTGAACTATGTTAATATTGAACTAATTTCTTTTTCTCTCCACTCCTCATCAGTCACTGAAAATTCAACATGCTATTAACAAGAATTTATACAGTGTCAGAAACATTAGAACTTTATGTCAGTATTTTCAGTCACCTTTTTAAAGCTACTCAACACCATCTATTGCTAGTTAAAGGGGGAACATTAAATTGTTACCAGTTATATATGATGAGATCACTGTAAGAATTAGTTTGAACTACTTATATTATCTTATTCCAGAGATGCCCCTATTTCTAAGTCACGACTCCACATTTTCATATTGTGTTAAAGACCAAACTGAAGTCATCATGGAATGGGAAAAAGGAAATGAGTCTGTACATAACAATAAGCAGAATTTGCAGGTCCTTCTCATTGAGCACACTTGGTGTTCTCTGGATGTTCTTGGTGTTCTCTGTGCCCTGCTCCCTTCTTGATAAATACATGTTCATAAAAGTAGTAGTTAATAATCACAATAAATTGTTATATTGTTTCTCTAAGATACAATTGTCCTACAATCATTATATAGCCAATATCTGAGGTGTGCTTTTCAAAAGTCATTTATTTGTACATGTTAATTACACAGAATAATGGATTTCATCTGGCACATTTGTCCATGCATATAACATAGCCTGGTTAATATTACTCTACAGTATCTCCCCTTACCCTCCTTCACCCTCCCCTGTTCCCTTTGCTCTACCCAGTGGTTTCTCTTCCATTTTTGTAACTGCCCCTTTTCCCTTTGTTTCTCTCTAGCTTCAACATATGAGAGAAAACATGATAATTGACTTTATGTATCTGGTTTATTTCACTTAAAATCATACTCTTTAGGGCTATTCATTTTTCTCCAAACTACATAATTTCATTCTTTCTTAGCTGAAAAAAATCTCCATTATACATATGTACCATATTTTCTTTATCCACTTATCTGTTGATGGACATCTAGGCTGCTTCCATAACCTGGCTATGGAGAATTGTGCATACCCATGTTTACGGAATGCTTTTTTTAAGCAGCATATGTTATAAGTAATTTATGTACCTTAATTATCATACTAGGTAAATATTATTGTGCTCATTTCTATATCTTTGCTTATTTCCTGTAGAGGTCTCTGGATATTAAGAAAGGGTGATGTAATTACCTGGATAATTTCTCAGTGGACCTGACTCCCTGCCTATTACTTTACTCTCAGGGCTTCTGATCAGCTTACAAAGAGGGAGGCAGCACCCCAGCCCAAGAACTGGGAAGGTAATAATGCCAAAGTGGTGGTTGCTAACATGAGCTTCCCTGGACCATTTGATGCCTGTGGTGAGTAATCAAGCCACAATCTCCCATCCCTGCCTCCTCCTAAAGCAGTTTCCAGGATTCCCACCCCTGCCTCACTCTTTGAAGCCCTCTAGATTTTTCCCTAATCAGTACTTTCCCTTAAGAGGGATTACAGAGGGCAAATCCTAGCTATCTGAACCTGTATGGTAGAATGAGCATAGTGTTTTCCTAGGCTTAACAGCTGGTGAAGAGCAAAACAAAAATATCAGATGACACCATGGGTCAAAATAGTTTTTCCATGATATTATTGTGGGTTACTCTCACAATGCATATGTCTTATTTATATGCTTATTTGTTAAGTGGGAACTTTGTCTTCTTGCTTTCCTCACAGATGTGCCCTGAGTATCAGTGAGTGATAAGGGAAGAACACTTTTAATAGAAAGTAAGAGATAAGCTGACCATGATTGATCTTTTCAAAGAATGCCTTGGAAAAGAAATAGTGGGTTGAAAGGATACTAATATTTACTGATTGTTAAAGGATCATGTTGAATAGTCATAGCCATTGTCTGTGGTAGATAGTAACATCTTTATCTTAAATAACAACAACAAAAAAAAAAACACAAAAGTGCACAAAAGTAAAATAAGTTACGTTGCACATAGGAGTCACCTCCAATCCAGTCTTGCTTCAGGGATATTAGAATCACTGTATCATCTTTTTCTTTCTGCTGATTTTTCTGTCCTGTTATACTGGAGTAAACACTAAATGACCCCTTTTGTTATCTCCCATACTGGAGTGCTCTTGTTGAATAAATCCTAAACTCGGAGAAATGATTGTGCTGAGGATCTCTTTCAAAAAGGCCTGGCCTTATACTATCTGGTTTGGGAGACTTGAGATAAAGGTTGACATCAATGCATAAATGCAAGAAGGATAGAAAACAAAACAAAATAGGAACACATGAGAGAGCGAGGTAGGGCAGAGAAGACCGGGAAGTAGAGACTTCCAGTATTTGCCAAGATTTGTCCCTTCTAATATCAGGTCACTTGAGATGTGGTAGGCAAGACAAAGAATGCAGTTAGGAAGCACAGAGGAAAAGTTGTGTGATCCAGGGGTTTGCTGATACTCTAAGGAACTAAAAATAAGTTGTGCTTATGGAAAGAAGTATACAAAATGGACAGGGGAAGTTCCCCAAGCCTCCATCCCTGGGATGTTATGACATGTGTGATCATTTTATGAAGTCAATGATTTGCCTCTGAATTTCTCTACATTAAATTTAAGTGCAACCCTCCACAGAGAGCATTTCCTAAACTAGTATCTGCTTAGTTAAACTGCATCTGGCCATGGTAAGTGCCCAGGGATCCCCTATCTGGGCAAAAAAAAATATTTTTTAATTGTTTCCTCCCTATATTTTCGTATTTCTTCACAATTGTGAAAAGTCAATGATTTGAACATCATAGTATATTAATGGTTTTCATTTTCTCCATGTTTTATTCCAGTCTTTGTCAAAGTGTTGTCTTACATACCTGTAACAGTGTCATTTTTTCCCTCTGTGTCACACTTCACTCAACTTCTTCATTTAACCTGGAAATTTTTCGCTAATTCCTCAGGTTATCAGCTGAAGTGTCACTTTCCAAAGAAGGCTTTTCCTGACTTTCAAAATAAATTAGGTTTTTTCCTTTAGGTCCCCTTTATGGTATCCTAATTTTTTTTTTCCTATGGAACTTAATACTATTGGGAATAAAAAACCTCAGGGTATTTAATGATTGTGTGTGAATATGTGTGGGAGAAGATGTACTCTCTGATCTGTGGTTGAAAGTTGCAAAGATTTATTAAGTAGGTCCAGGACTCTATGTTGCCCGAGCCCTGTATGGTGCTTCACACAGAATTCTGGCTGGTTACAGATCTGCAGGACAGAGAAGAATTTAGTAATAACCAGCATGGGTGACTGCTGATGGCATGGGGTCACTGTTGCTAGGGAAATTAAGCAGTGGCTGAAGGAGAATTCATATCAGGATTTTCAGGCATATTTTCATTGAGTTTGTAAACTATGTTCATGTATGAATAGTTAAACAGGTGTGTGTGTGTGTGTGCGTGTGTGTGTGTGTTTGTATTTAAGTAAATGAGTTGAAAACTACCTTCCCAGCCCCAGGATTCCTTGTGTTATTACTATATTATGACTAGTAACACTCAGTTCAATGTAGGCAGGTGGTTTTCTCCTCTGTTGCCTTCCTCTCCTGTCAGGAAGCATTCCTTGAAAATCTGTTTAGGTTCCTGGTATTGCTGTTAGAGAGAATTGAGAAGTGCACCTGAGCCAGAAAGAAGTTTCATTTGGGTAAGGTAAGTTATTTTCGGGAACTGTGAGTCAAGGGACAATATTCATGAAAATATTTTCATGAACCTGATTCCTTCTGAATCATCCAGACCTTTGCACACAATCATTATGGTTGCTTCCTATAACTTTCAAAGCTCAGACTGGCTAAACCAGTGTAGATCCACAACCCATGTTTTTCTAGTTTAATTCTGCAGCTCACTCCAGGCTCTGTTCACTCCATTGTCTTGGCTTTGCCTTGGACTTTAATCATTCAATTACCCATACACACTCGTTTAGCTGTTTTGTATGCCATACTCTGTGCCTTGAATCTATGTATTTATAACTAATATCTGCTCACCTATTCCCAGCATTAATTCATAACTCTTGCTGAAATTGTGTCCCTGTTTGTCTCCCCAGTGACGTTCTAGGGTCAAGCATCTTGATGCCAACAGGGCAGTCATTTTTTCCTCAGCTGATTCAAGGTCACTTCAGTTTAGATGCGGACTTTTCTATTAGCCAAGAACGTCCCTGTAATGGAAACTGTAAACTGCGTCACAATGGGAATCTCCTGATGATGGTAATTTGTCAACTTCCAGAAGTGAGACCGTTGGCCACATGAATCTGAGTTTGTTTTCTTCTTCCCTCCCTAAATGCTCAATCATCTTTCTCCATAATAATGTCACCTCACTAGTTTATTTCTAATTTTCCAGGTGTCCCAGATCCTGTGGGATGAGATTTCAGCATGAAGAATTCCAATAGCTCTTTGGGGTTCTTGCCTACAACATTCATTTTGGTTGGCATCCCAGGCCTGGAGGCCGAGCACTTCTGGATATCCATTGCTTTCTGCCTGATGTACATCATCATCTTCCTTGGAAATGGCACCATTCTTCATGTCATCAGAACAGATGCTTCCCTACATCAGCCCATGTATCTCTTTCTTGCCATGTTAGCACTAGCTGAGGTTGGTGTCTCTGTATCCACCCTGCCTACAGTGCTAGGTATATTCCTTTTTGGCACCACTGAGATTAGTTTTGAAGCATGCCTTTTCCAGATGTTCTCCATCCATTCTTTCTCCATTATGGAGTCAGCTGTGCTGCTGGCCATGTCTGTAGACCGCTTCGTGGCCATCTATAGCCCACTGCGCTATACCACTATTCTGACACTGCCTCGTATCTTTGGCACAGGAGTTATTATTGGACTGAAGAGCATTGTGCTCATGGCTCCATTGCCCATGCTTTTATGGAGGCTGCCGTTCTGTGGCCATAATGCTCTCTCTCATTCCTTTTGCCTCCACCCTAACCTTATCCATCTACCTTGTGGGGACATTTCTATCAACAATATCTATGGACTTTTCATTGTTACCTCCACTTTTGGGCTGGATTCATTGCTCATAGTAATCTCATATGGGCTCATACTTCACACTGTATTGGGTATTGCCACTGGAGAAGGGCGGAAGAAGGCACTCAGCACATGTGGTTCACATATTTGCGCTGTATTAGCTTATTATATACCTATGATTGGCTTGTCTATGGTGCATCGCTTTGGAAAGCATGTATCTCCTCTGCTGCAAACCATGATGGCTAATGCTTACCTTTTCTTCCCACCTGTTGTCAACCCCATTGTCTATAGTATTAAAACCAAGGAGATTCATCGTGGCATTATCAGAATGCTAGCAAAGAAGAGATCCAGAGTTTAATCAAAGGCCAAATTAAAAAGGGAGTTTTATTGTTTGGTTTTCTATAGTTACCTTATGTGGTTGTAACTGGGATTGCCTTAAAACATGGTGTCTAACAGGAGGCTTTCATAGTCTGGCAGTGAACTGGAATGGAAATGCAAGTAGGCACAGAATATGCATAATTAAACAGTTGGAAAACTAATAATATTTTTAAAAAGATCATGTGACATGAAGTTTTCCATTACCTCACATACTTGAATCAGGATTGCAAAAAAAGATTGTTTATGAGAACACATTCAGAAGGTGTCCTGAGAAATCTGTTGAGTCCTCTGTACCTGGGAGAGAGGAAGTAAGTGTGTTGCATTCTCTTGAGCTATTGGCCCTTTGATTCCATAGCAAGGGAACACCAGAGCTAGCTCAAAGGAGGCTTCCCCTACATGCTTTAATGTGGCATTTACCCTACTTCACCAAGGTTGCACACTGGGAGAGACCAAAAATTACTAATCTTGTATGTTGTGCAAAATTCTGACGTTCTCCCCCAAGATGGCAGAAACTTTCAAATAAACATCCTCTTTGAAGACATTGATAATTTTTGTTTGGCTGGATATTCCTTTTCAGACCCTTGAAATAATATGAAGAGCTTATACTTATATTTTTCAGAGAAAGAGATTAAGATCTTTGAGATGCAAATATATACTGGGTACTTTATATTTATTATTAAATATGAACATTATCAACAAACCTGAGGTAGGAAATGACTAAAATATTACAAAATGATATAGTTATTATTCTTCAGATGAAAAGCTGATGTTTAGATATAATAAGCATCTTATTAAACCTACATATCTATGAGTTAGAATCTCCTTGACCTTATTAGTAGTCAGCCAAGTAGAATTTACAGAACACAATCAATGCATCAGACATGATCCAGGCCCTAAAGGTAAAGCAGTAATAAAGAGACAAGGCACCTTGTATTACAGAGCGTAGAAAGGAATTTACCCACTACTATGTTCACCATCTTTGCTATATTTTATGCTTCCTATGAAAAAATGTTTAGAATCAATTTTATGCAGACATTCGAATGCCCCATATATAAATAACACAAATAAAAAAGCTTTTGATTATGAATTTTAAATATTTTAAATGGTTCTGTTTTACATTGCAAGGATGGCAAAAATTGGCAAAGACTTCTTGTAAAAGTTAATTCTGTGAATTTGTCTCCAGGTTTTCCTTTACCAGTTTTCCTAGATTCTGACCTGGGGATCTGCAATTGCCTAAAACTAACCACCAGTGGCAAAGTTCTGCAGAAGACAATGATATTGAATTATCAAGGAAAATCAAGCAGGTAAACCCTGGCAATCCTATAGATAGTCAGAGGATTGAGAGAGTGATTCTGAGAAGAGGGATGAAAAGGGGGAGTATCTTTATAGAATCCGAAGACATCCCATATCTAAAGATGTGCAGAATAGGTGATGGCACCAGGTTGTTAAATGGCTTGGCATAAAACGAACATCTTAGCAAGTCATTTTTGTTTCTAAAGATTGTGTTGGGAATCTTTAGGCTTCTTAAATATGATTGCTCCTACATTTGAGCCTGTTGCAAATGTTGACTCTAAATCTCATCCTTAGATGTTTGTCAGATCACGATCAATTTAGTGTAAACCTTTCAATCCCATCATAGAATGGATTTGCACATATCCACAATCTCCATTTTTTTTCTAACTTTTATTGTTCCATTGTCCTGAAATCCAGGCTTCTGTCAATGTCAGATTCAGACAGGGAGAATTTTGGAAAACCATATGCTGAAAACAGTCTAGAAATCAGCTAGTGTCTATGACATTGAATTCAACAGAATTCAATATGACTTTATGGAAAAATATCAGTTTGGGCTCCTTTTCTGCCCTTATAATTACTACCCTAATTTATAATCTAGACCTTTTGAAACTATGTTTGATCTTTTTTATCTTTTCAACAGGACAAAATTATCCACCTTTATATTTAAGTATGTAGGAAAATAAATTAAGAATTTGGACACTTTAAAATGTAGGAACGTTATAGGTTATTTCCACACTTATCAAGGGAATATTATTGTGTCAAGCCAATCATCCTGCCCACAATTAGAAAACTTAGAGAAATACTTTCAAATAACTTCAAAGAACATCAACAATGAGTGCATAAAGGCCAAGATTCCAAAGAAGGGAAGCCTAAAGAATTGAGCCTGGAAGTTTTTGTTATTTTTCCCTTTAAGGAATTTATCTATTCAAAAGTAAAAGCTGACAAAATGAAAACAGCTGATAACAATCTCAAAGGGATGATATGCAAAGGACAATTTGTAAAACTAAAAGTTAATTAGATGAATCCAGAATGATTCATTTTATTATAGATTTTATTATAGTTTTCCAAGTAATGAAACTGACAAAAAAAATATCAACATTTTAAAAACTTTGGAAAACATTATTAAAATTTCTATCTAATTAACAATTCCAATAAGCAATTACATAACAAATACTCTTTTCACTTTTTTCATTTTTCCTTCCACATTTTTATTTGTTCATTATAGTTGTACATAATGATATAAAACACTCTTTCTAAATGCATAAGAAACACTTCCCAAAATAAACCATCAGGACATAGTAGTATTTTATACCTTGATTGGGATTGAGGTCAGAAGATGTGATGTATTTATTTTGTGAATACTTAATGAGCAATTTACATATAAAATGAATACATTTACCTATGATTATTATATGCCAATAAAAATGTGTAATGTGTATTAAAAAGAATGGTGTGCAACATTTTTAAAGTGTAAATACCATTTGTCTGTGTGGTGGTGATGGGTGCTTATCTGCACATTGATTTTCATAAACTCCAGTTCTGAGTCCCACTTGGTTAACCTCTCTGAGTTAGGTTCCAGATGCCTCAAATGAAACTTTCTGAGTTAACAGAGTTAAGTTCTTGTTCACTTGTTTCTTTGTTGTCAACAATGTTTCATATCAGTAATCTTTATAGTTCCAAGTTATTAATAATTTCTTTCACTCTTTGTGAATAAAGAATTTAACATGCCTTTAAATGTTATTTAATTTCGTAGCTTCTATTTTTCTTATTAATGATTAATTTTATATCTGCATTTTATAAAATATTGACAAGTTTACACATTCAAAAGACTCAAATTTTAAAAACATAGAGTGTATGTATATATATTTAAAATATTCACTTTTAGTCTATATTTTATTCATTTTCGCTTCTCCAGACACACACAAAATTTGGTTTATTATATTTCCTTTTAGGGAAAAAATCATGCATAAATAAGAAATTATGTGAATTTATACTTTTTTTCTATTGAAAATTGTGTGCTGCCCTCTACTTAATTTTTAACATATATATCTATATCTTTGAGGTCACTCATAAACAACATTTTCATATCTAAATATTTTATTTTGCAAATTCTGGTATACTATATGTTCCCACAATTTATTTACCAATATCCAGTTAATGAATATCTAAATTGTTTCCATTTTATACTCTTACAAATCACATTATATTGAAAAATCTTGTCTGTAAATATGCCAGTTTGCACCTATATATTTAAAAATACAATTGTAAACTCAATTTCTAGAAATGGAATTGCTGAGTAAAGAATTGTGTACTTACATAACTCTGACACAATTTTGATACAAATTTTGGTTACAAAGTTTGTACAACTTTGGTAAAATATTTTCAATGTCCTCTATAAAATTCACTTATTAATTTGCCCATGGATGTGTTTGAATATTCTTGGATTTTGCTAAGATGATGAATAAAAAGCTGTATCTCAATTTCATTAAAATATTTACAGTTTTTTCTGCATATAAACTAGATGAACATTATTTTTATTGTTCAAATATGCATTAGAGACAAATCTCTTATATGTCTCATTCTTCTTCATTTTCAAAAATTATAATACTATCAGTTGTACCAATTTTACCAATATTCCTTTTACTGATAAATATACTTTATCACTTTGTCAGTTTTAAATTGTCTTTTGATCCTCAACCACTATAAGTAAAATAATCAAATACTTTATAATAACTTCCAAAATCTTTACTCCCAATTTGTATTGGTTGTTTAATTTCTTCATTTTCAGGGTTTATAACAATTTTTTGCTCTGCAATCACAATCTCCTTTCCGACGAAGCAGTAGTGGTTTAGAGGTGGAGCTTCTCCAAAACACAAAGGCAAGCCATATTTGAAGGAAGCACCCTGGACCTTCCTTAATAAAACACACCTAAATAAACACCTGCTGGTTCTTATTGACTATGGAGAACACAGTCTCAATAAATACACATGAAAAGTCCTAGGTCAATTGTCTCTAGATAACACCACAAGTCACTTCTGGCCTGAGCAGAGATCCAGTCTTTCCTGGGGAAGAAGTTCAATGCATGACACAGCTGCTCCCTGTAGATCACTGGAAAAGGAAATTCCATTTGTCTCTGTGATTTGAGAATCTACCACATCAACTCTGAGATTGGTCATATTCATGCCATGACAATATCAAAGGGCAACTCTGCTCCAACTTTGAACAATCCCTCTCAAACCAGATAAGGCACAGCAGTAAGCAGGAAGGCACTAATGATCGCTGAGACAACATCTGCTAGGATAGGAGTTAGGCTGTTTCCATGTACCTCACAAGATGTTTAGATTTCCATGTGTCTGTCAGCTCATTTGTGGTACATATAGATCAAGCAGAGAACTTTATTCGTGGTTTTACATATTGTTACTATTAATTTTATTTCCTTGAACTATATGTCTGTATATTTATTGAAGTCAAGAGATTTTACTCCTTGCCTTTACATTTTTATAATAATTTTTAAATGTTTTTAATTTAGGATGTGTCTTTAGAGGGGAGACAGCATATGAAAGTTTTAACACTTCAAGTTTAAGTTTGAATGAGTATTTTTTTAAGTAAACTGAAAACAAATTTTTCGTCCTTGACAACAATACTCTTAAGAAACATAGTCAACCCTTCCCTAAAGGGCACAGATCT